AATTTCAGTCGACCTCGCCACCCTCTGTACCGACAGCAGCACCCGGCAGCCCAGATCCTCACCATGTACTCCACCCCGAACACCACGATGGTCACCACCTCCTGTTACACCACAACAACACGCTGTTAACGATCAGAGCAGCACGTATGTGCTCAGAAGAATATCTACAGCTTTATGTGAAGAATGAAACGCTGCAGCTGAACAGAACCGTCACTGACTTTATATTTGTTTCATCTCCGCTTACAGCAGCATCACGTGTGCCATCAGCTCCACGCTGAGCCAAACCTTTGACACTAGCAGGGGTGTCCAACTCCAGGCCTGGAGGGCCGGTGTCCTGCAGGATCTCACGCTGGGTCAGCACACCTGAATCACACGATGAGTTCATTACCGGGCCTCTGGAGGAGGACATGTTGAGGAGGTCATTAAATCAGCTGACATGTCTAAACCTGCAACACCGGCCCTGAGGCCTGGAGTTGGACACCACTGAGCTAAGCCCTCTGCTTCCTGTGATTTGCATAAAAAAATTATGGTACAAAAATTTGAAAACATATTGTTTTGGGGGTTTTTCGCTTCTTATATCTTCACAAGTTGTTAAGCTGTATTTTTGTGAACGATGGTGCGTCTCTCTCAGACGTTTCTTTAACAGTGAAATCTGCATCAGTGTTTGAACATGACGGTGTGACCCTTTCCCCGCCTGGATCTCTGATCTGGGACCAACACATTCAAACTATCTGCAGGTCAAATATGACAAAAACTTTATATACGTGCTGGACTCGGAGGGGGGGGGGGGGGGGTCAATGTTACTAGTTGTCTTTTGCATCATATTGCAAAAACAACTAGTAACATTTGTGATTTTTATATGAATCTTTCACAATACTAAAGATAAACTGTGTAGAATGATTTTCATCAAGAACTTGTTGGTCATAAAGTGGAGAAAATTTCAGGTTTCATGCTGTGTGAGTAAATATGACTTTGTTGTACCACAAAAACAAAAATATATTATTAGTTCGTCCACATGAAACCAAGTTCTGGAGTTTAACGGTGTTAAATATGTAGACTGACTCTACCAGCCGACTTTGTTGAGTCTAATATTTCAGGTTAAAGTATTACTGTAAAATAAAAACAGAACCACGCACATATTTAACACACAGCACAGTCTGATGAAGTTTTATTATCATGTGCTCAAATATGAGACTTTACTCGAGGGCTCGACTTTCTTCGTATTATAATTATAATTATATATTATAATCAGCATCACATTTCCTGTCTGTTCCAAAGATCCTGGTTCAGTTTCACTCCGAGTGGAAATTTCAGGCTTTTGTCTTTGGAAATATTCATGTTCAAACATTGGCTCGAGTGTCAGTGTTTGAGAAAAAGGCCTGAAAGTCGGTCTAAAATATTCACATGGACATATGTGGACATAAATGTAAGCACGATGGTCGAGCACGATGTTTGCGTGGTTACCAGGATGTAGAGCGCGTCCTCTGAGCTCTTCTCGTACTCTCTGATGGTGGAGAACACAGACAGAACCAGGCAGGAGAACACCAACAGGAACCTGAACACAGAACAGGAAAGATCTGCGTTTCAGGGAAAATAAACATGAGTGAGGTGACCTCACTCTGAGAGACGGCTGTGGGGAAGAGAGGGCGGAAATATTAAGGACCGCCCAGCTGTCCCCACCTGCCCACTTTTCTCCTGCTCGTTACATTGGTGCGCAGGTGTGCGGACAGGTACGTACACATAGGCGTGGTAGATAAAGGCCCATCCTCGGGGTCTCTCCAAGACGTTGTACAGGAAGTTCTGCAGGCGTCTGTAGAGGGCGTTTCGTTTGGGAGGTTTCTTCCCCCCGGAGACGCTGCTGCGCTGCCGCCGAGGCCCCTCGTCTCCACCTGCACACAGAAACATGTCAGACAGGCACACGGACGCTTATATGTGCTGCTGGGGGGG